AGTACCACTGCTGGGCAGCTTGAAGCCTCCTACAGCTCTTTTTTACCACACTATACAACACTGTCACTTACAGTGTGGTCATAGCATAATAGAGCATTTAACATCAAAATCCCAAAGGATTGCTCAATTAAGTAAGCAAGCTATATTTCCTATTATAGCATTAAAAAGGGCTTAAAGCACTTAATAAATAAACGATAGCTTGAGTCACCTCTAGATCAAGTTTCCTTATCTGCAGTTTAAGTACTGAAAGACAAAGTGACTTCAAGGCTGCCTAAGAGAGGACTCGATCATCTGAGAAGGGATTTTACATACACACACACACACACACACACACACACACACACACACCCCTCTTCATAAATGATGTCTGACAAGGAAAGAGATATTTGTGGCATAATAGCTCTGGAAAATATAATTATTTATCCTTTCATAGCTAATGAAAGAAATTGAAATTGAAGCTCTCATTTCGAATCCTTTTTATGTGGGTGAAACTTTAATTTTACATAATTAAATTGACTTCACAGTTCAGTGTGTTAAAATATGCAATTAAACGGCATATCAAGGTTAAATGGCGACCGCGGTTGGCTCACTTAGAAATCACACTGCTGCACTGCCAAACAAGAAGGAACACCTGCCTAGCGCTGTTGTCCCTGTGCAGGGACCACACAGCCTGCAGGGCTGTGTCCTCTGGTCAGAGCAGGAGGAGAGGTTGGTGGTTTGTTGGTTTTGTCCTCCCATCCCCCACTAGTAGGCCAAATCGGGTACAAGGTTAACCGGATTTAACTGGTTTTATTTCCTTTTGTTTTTCAGTGGAACCTTTTTTTTTTCCCTTTAAAAATTCCTCTGTCACTTCCACTGAGCTCCAAAGCTGTTAGAATACATGGATCTTTCAAGCTGTGATTTTCTGTAAATCAGACACTGCTTGTTCTCTGTCTAAAGGCAGAGACAGAGCAACGCAACTGCTGTAGTTTGGTTAAAGGTAGGGGAAAATGCCTTTGCTTTCATTTCGTCCCATCCCACTATTTACACTCTGTTGAGGTATCTTTCAGTCTTTTTGCTGCCCCTCAGAAAAAAGAGCCTCAAGAAATACTGGAGGATGTGTTGAAGTGGGCCTGGGGCAAGGACACTGGAGATGTGACTGAGGTGGGGACTTCTAGTTACTTGCTCCCTCCTTGTTTTCTCATGGGATAACGTCTTTGTGGTGATTAATTTATGATTCAGTAGCATCTTTTATTCCCTTTTATCTTAAGATCCTATGAGTGGAGTATGGTCGGCAATTAGAACCAAGTTCCTTTTTCCTGTTGATTCTGTACTTGATGTAGCAGTGATTTGTTTTTTCCTATTAGGGCAGCTGCTAAGAAGGATTTATAAATCCAAGCAATATCCTTGCTATAATGATACACAAAGAACTGGGATCTATCTGGTGACTTTTCCACATACTGCAGGGGATGGGTTGCAGAGTGAATTACAGCAGCCCCAAAGAAGACAAGGTCCTTAGTGGTCTATCTCATGTCCTGGGTGTATCTTGTTTCTTGTTATGCATCTGTTGCCTGTAAGATGCATATTGGTATGGCTGGTGAACTATAACACTGAGAGACCATAGAAAATGTTACAATGTGTAGTGATATTGATATAAAATGTATAATTTTTTTACTCTTTTGAGTCATGTCTTTACATATAGCACTGCCTGGTTCCTTAGACCCCAAAATAATCCTGGGGTATATACATTCTTCTAAAATTCTGAGCCAGGACTATGTTTGTCACCAATTTACTGCATTACCATGGAACTAAAACAAAGATTTATCCCCTCAACAGACATTTTGGTATTTGTATCAGTAACAACTAATACTGGAAAATATTCTAATTAGTCAACAGTAATATTAATATATCCATGCAATTGTAAGGATGCCTATTCATGATTGTAAATTAGGTACATGCATATCTAATTATAGATTCATTGACTGGTCTCAGATAATCTGAGTTCAGGAGTTTGAACTTTGAACAAATTATTAAATAATAACAAACAACAAAGGTTGTACAGGAACAGCAAATCTTGTATCATATCTCAGAAACATGTAGGTTTTGTAAAATTTTACACAAAGCTTAGAAATCTTGACCTGATTTATAGAAATCCATTGCATAGCAAAGCTTTGATTATCTTTCCAGAGTCTCGCATTAAGGACTTTGGGTTTGAGAAATTGAAATGTTCCATCATATGGTTTGATGCTTTCTGCACTTCTGTGGCCTATGAATGGCTGCCGACTTTAAACTATATTTTTTTCTGAATTCTCTTGTATTGTGGTCAAAGAAGATCTGAGAAGTCAAAAGTTTTCAGTGTAATTTTGAACATTAAAGGAACACAGAGCATTCTGGCCCATTACTAGAGACTGGAGGAATTCGAGTATCTGCAGAACAGAGTAGCCATAACTCACTCCTTCCAGAAAGGTAATTTGGCAGATCTGAGCTACACTTACCACTAAATATGAAACAAAGAAGACAAAACCGAGTCTACCTGACAGACACAGAGACAGACAAGAGCGCCACGCAGCGAGTGCATGACGAGTATGTTTGTACATGTGAAAACAATGAGAGCACAGCATGATGGGAAGAAAAGGGAGAAGTTTGACCATTAGGAGATGAGAAAGTCCTGAATGCTGGTAATGGATACAAGTTATGAAAGAGACTATAAAGTTATTTTTTTCTAGTTTTAATTTTATCATGGATTTTTTTTTTGGTTTTTGGTGTTGGGTAAACACATAAAATATATTCAAAACTGAATGTGTTAAATCTGATGTGATGTATCACAACTTTTATTTAGAGTGCTAATTCGTTTGTTTTTTTTTTTATTTTTTTGAGACAGGGTTTCTCTGTAGCTTTGGAGCCTATCCTGGAACTAGCTCTTGTAGATCAGGCTGGCCTCGAACTCATAGAGATCCACCTGTCTCTGCTTCCCGAGTGCCGGGATTAAAGGCGTGCACCACCACCGCCTGGCTAGAGTGCTAATTCTAACTGTATATGAATTCATTATGTTGTATAGGCTTTGGGTCTGGTTAATTTTGGTGTGTGATATTTTTCTTTATTTGCAAAGTTTTTTTTAAAAAAACAATTAAGTTTATAAAAGTGACTAATGAATGCGCAGAAAGGACTAAATCTGTAGTATAAACAAAATCATAACTGTTATATTCATATTGAATGTTTTTTAAATATAGAATGGATAAGTTTGAGGGAAATTTTTTTTTAAGATTTCTTTATTTAATGTGCATTAGTGTTTTGCCTGTGTATACTCTGTGTGAAGGTGTCAGATTCGCTGGAACTGAAGCTACAGACAGTCTTGAGTTGCCATGAGGGTGCTGGGAATTGAACCTGGGTCCTCTGGGAGAGCAGCCAGTGCTCTTAACTGCTGAGCCATCTCTCCAACCCTAGTAGTTTTGTTTTGGGAAGTTTTAAAAGCATTTCCCGTGGAAGTTATTTTTGTGCTTAGAGCATGTTTGGTAGGATTGAGTAAAGAATGCATGCTGTGTCTACCAGCCAGGGGGTGAGCGTTCCTGGGTGTCTGCTGCATTCTTAGGCAAAATGACTCCATTTGCTTTTTCATGTTCCTACTTTACAAGCATAGGAGGTGATGGCTGCCTGTGAAGCTCGCTGTGTAGCCATTACCTGAGATGTTCATGTACCGGATAATATATGCTTACATTAGAGACCTTGTCAAAAATAGTGAAGGATGCTTCAAATTAACACCTACTTGAAGTAATATCTAAATTTTATAATTCAAGGATGGATTTAGCTTCTTGTTAGGGACAAAAAGCTAAAAGAAGCCACCCACCTGAAGGTGATAATATAACTGCAAAACTTGGAGATTAAAGATAACATGCAAAGTCAGGCACGGTGGCACATGGCTCAGTCTAGGGTCTGAGGAGACTGTGTCAGGAAGGAAGATCAGGGGTGTGAGGTCAGTCTAGGCTACAGAGCAAGACCTTATCTCAAAAATCAACCAACCACCAACAGAAGGAACCCCCAACCTCGTAGAGATTAATCACACCAAACAAATCTAAGACTATAACAAATTCTTGTCATTAAAGTTCTACCCAAAAGAATAGATCTAGCAGTGTGGAAGAAAAATTACAAGATTCGCCTTCAATAATGACACACTAACACTTAGTCGCCTACTATAATATATGTCGGTACATTAGGACACCAATCAATGTCCTGTCCTTTCTCTCAATTTCCTTGTATTGCAGTAGACAAGTTCCTTTTGAGAAGAAATCTGAGCAGTTGGTTATCCAGATAATACACTGAAAAGTCCAGCCAACTGGGGTGCTACCATAATCTCTGTAACTACTTGGTGTGGGAATCTCTCTCTCTCTGTCTCTCTCTGTCTCTCTCTGTCTCTCTCTCTCTGTCTCTCTCTGTCTCTCTGTCTCTCTGTCTGTCTGTCTGTCTCTCTCTCTCTCTGTCTCTGTCTGTCTGTCTGTCTGTCTGTCTCTCTCTGTCTCTCTGACTCTCTGTCTCTCTCTCTCTCTCTGTCTCTCTCTCTCTGTCTCTCTCTGTCTCTGTCTCTCTCTCTCTCTCCTCCCTCTCTGATTTGAATTCAAATCCAGTGATTGCGATGGTTGTGAGAGATTTCTTAGGTTTTCATTTCAGTCTGGAAAAACAGCCATATCCATAGAGAGGAAGCGCATCCCATCCAATCATATAGATACCCCTTCCCCAATGCTGCCTCTTAGTCATTTACTCTTGACAGCTAAGGTGTTAGAGAAAGAGGGAAGAAGAAACTGGGAAAGTACTTAAACAGTCACCATGGACTTAGAGAGTGCCTCTGCGAGATAAACAGGTGCAATGTTATACTTCAGTCTTGCAGACACCTTTGTCTGTGAAGTCTAGAATCCTGAGCATTAAAGGTTGCAGGGAAAGGGACTTGGTGGGCAGGAGTGAGAGGGCTGCTGTCTGGGGTTATGTTTTGTGCTCGAGGTATCCACTGAGAGCCCCGTAAGTAATCTCACCTTTGTTTTCTGCCTTCAGTTCCTCCGCCATCAAGCTGTCTTGTCGGTTCCCGAGCACAAACGCGAGAAATGAGAGGATCAGGGCATCCAATATTCCAATGATAGCCAGGATGTACGCCCAGCGGACGGAGCAGGCCCCGAGAGTGTACTTGTCTGTCTTTTCCCCACACATCCGTTTTACTTCATCTGAATCCCAGCCATCGGGGAAAATCATACAGCCGAGCACAAGACAGGCAGCTGAGAGAGAAAGACGGAAGGAGAAATTGAGCATTTTATTTTACAAGGTATTTCTATTGTTTGTCGAACATTCCAAATGATTGATTTTGAGAGTAGCAAGGCTCGGTATCGTTTCCTGTCCCTCTCCTCCTGCTTAACAGAAAAGCAGGCCCTGAACTCCGCAGCAGAGAAAAATCAGGGATTGTACTTTAGAGGGAGCCCACACTGAGAGAGGTTAAGGAAGATTTAGCTACGAGAAAATATTAAGAAATTAAATTTTTGTGCACGCTTGCAAAAAGGCTTCCATTGTAAATAGCCCAGAAGGAATCATCACACTGCATAATGACAGTTCAATGCTGTCTTTAAGAGCAAGGACAGCAGTCACAAAAGGGTTAGGATCACATGGGAAATACCAGCGTGTTTATTGACTTTGAATCTCTGGGAAAAGTAACATTGCGATCCCTGCCCCAGCGTTCAGACATTCCTTGAAATTCTTATCATGTGTACCTCTCATTGATACTTTCTATTCTAGTATTCATTCTGTTTAGTTTTTGGAATATATGTATATATACATATGTATTGCAATAAGTATATCATATTCCCCTTTTCTTTAATCCCTCCAAACTCTCCTGTGTACCCTCTTGTTCTCACTTAAATTCCTCAGTTCATTTTCTTTGTTTATACACACACACACACACACACACACACACACACACACTTATATATGTGTTCTATTTATGGCTTTCTCTTTATATATATTTCCATTATACATTCCTAAACACATAAATACAACCCACTTAGTATGCATAATGCTACACATACACACACGTTTGCATACACACACACACAAGCACTCGTGTGCACACACACACAATTTAAGGGTTGACAATTTGGTATTGGATAACCAGTTGCTGAGTTCTTCTTTGGGGAAGACTCTTTCTCATATTATCAGTGTTCTTTAGCTGCCTGTAGCTCTCTTTGTAGGGCTGAGGTCTCCTGAGCTGTCTCCATCCATGTTAGCATATCTATTGGTGTTGTCCTTGTTCAGGTTATGTTAGGGTGACTGTGTTTAAAAAAGAAAAAGGTTGTAAACCACAGCAGTACAGTGTGTCAATGCAGAGTTTTAATGAAAATTAAGAGTTAGGAAACTGTAGTGGCATTCATTTGTATTTTAATAAATAAAGCTCGCCTGAAGATTAGAAAAGTAAAACAGCCCCACTGGCCAGTTTTATAGATCAGGCAGCAATGACACACATTTAATCCCAGAAGCCACACTAGTGGCAGTCAATACCACCACCATTAGTCAATGGCACAAATTTAGTTAAAGAGAGATTCAAATTAGGTGGTAATCAGAGCCAATTTTGTTGCGACTATACAACAGATTACAAATACTTGGGGTGGATTTAACTGCAGTGAGCTGGTGATTTGAAGATGTTTTCACATGTTGGCTCTCTCAGCTCAGCACACAGCATGCTCTTCATAATTTACAACAGATTATCTGTAATCCAAAAATGCAGTTTTCACAAACAGAATTAATTTATTTTGGACAATGCAGAAGATCTTTGAGTCTAAAACTATATTTGAAAAATGTCTAAATTACTTTGAATATTTAAAAATATTTAATCTCTATATATTTATCAGTTGAAGGACACTGAAGTTTTCTTCCATTTTCCAGATATTGTGACTAGAACAGTATTGAACATGACTGAGTAGGGAACTCTGTAGGAGGCTATTGAGTCCTTAGGGTACATGCCAAGAAAATGTGGTACACATATATAATGGAATCTATTCGGCTTTAAAGAAAAATGAAATCATGAAATCTGAAGATAAATGGATAGAAATGGAAAACATTATATTGAGTAAAGCAACCCAGACCAAGAAAGGCAAATGCCTCATGGTCTTCTCTTATTTGGGCATTCTAGCACCCAATAAAATCTTTAGATTTGATTCAATAACTTGCAGTAACTGAAGAAACCAGGAACATAGATAGAGACTGTTGTGTGTATGTGTGTGTGTGTGTGTGTCTGTGTGTGTGTGTGGTGTGCACAAACTCTAGAGTTGGGGATATTAGGACATTAAGAGGAAAACAGGGCAGGGAAACTTTAACAAAGAGAGAGGAGAGAAGCAGAGATAAATAAAAATAAGCATGCTTGCTAAAGCCATGGGGAAACATTCTTTTATGAGCTTACTTAAAGGACACATATAGCATATATGTGTGTGTACATATGAATACATAAACATGCACACACCATACATGCACATACACCACACAGAGTGATGATACTCCTTCTGCAACAGCAATAAATTATTTAACAAGAATCCTAGTGCCAGCAATAGGAAACTTCTCTTTGAATTGTTGGTCATGGGGACCCGAGAGACTCCCTGCAAAGAGAGGTTGTTATAATTGCCTCAATTGTCTCCCAGACCTTGAAGATAAGATTCCACTGCTGAAGACACCACACACATAGAGCACAGGGTTTGGAATTAACTGATTCAGAACTTACCTGGAGGTCTAACTCTCATAGAGTCAGAAGGTGCTATGTAAGCCGTCAAGGTTGGAATACAATCAATAGTCCTGCCTATGTTACTGTGGTTTTCCCAGCTCCTGTTAGTACATCCTCTACATCCATGGCTTAGGGAACATTGTGGAAGATGGGGCAGCTTGATTATTAGGGCCAGAAGATCAGGATTTCTGAGATACTGTGTTCTAGACATGACGGGAAGTTGTTCCTTGAAATCTCAACAACAAAGTTGCCTAAACAAGATGTGTACAATGACAATACCAGCTGTGCTGACTAGTTTTGTGTCAACTAACACAGGCAGGAATAATTTTGGAAGAGAGTACCTCAACTGAGAAAAATGGCTCTACCAGATTAATTGATGTGGGCCCAGCTCACTGGAGACGGTGCCACCCTCGGGAAAGTGGTCTTGGATGGTGTAAGAAGATGCTTTAGAGTTTTTATTGCTACAACAAAACACCACGACTAAATGCAAATTGGGGAAGAAAGGATTTATTTGGCTTACACTTCAGCATTGCTGTTCATCACTGAAGGAAGTGAGGACAGGAACTCAAATAGAGCAGGATCTTGGAGGCAGAAGCTAATATAAATGCTGTGTGTGTATGTGTGGGTGCTGCTTACTGACTTGCCTCACATGGCTTGCTCAGCCTGATTTCTTATAGGACCCAGGACCACCAGACCAGGAACGGTACCACCCACCATGGGCAAAGCCCTCCCCCATTGATGACTAATTGAGAAAATGCCTTACAGCTGGATCTCATGAAGAAGTTTCTTCAGCAGGAGACTCCTTCTTCTCTGATCACCCCAGCTTGTGTCAAGTTGACACACACAACCAACCATTATAAAAGGCAAACTGAGAAAGATCTGAGGAGCAAGCCAGAAAGCTACACCCTTCCATGGCCTCTGTGTCAATTTCTACCTCTAGATTCCTGCTTTGAGTTCTTGTCCTGACTTCCCTTAGTGATGAAGTGGAACTTGAGAGTTGTAAGGTAAAATAAATAATTTCCTCTCCAAGTTGTTTTTGGTCATGGTGTTTTATCACAGCAATAGAAACCCCAATTGAGATACATACATAGAAGCAACCCCAAAATAAATCTGGGAATATATATATGTATATATATATATGTATGAATATATGCATGTTAATGTAATTATGAAGAAAGGGTTTTGAATTTAAGAGTGAGTGGGAGCATGGGAGGAGTTGGAGGAGAAGGAGGGATAGAAATGATGTAAATAAAGTACTTATATGAACATAAAAGAATAAAACTGACCATGTAGAGACACCTACACAGTCACAAGCCACCGAAGGTTTCCTAACACCTGACTGCCCTGATACAGCTCAGAACAATGAACACATCAGGGCACAGATGAAAAAAAAAAACCCACTCATTTAAAGTCTTGCGTGCTTCATTTCTTCACCCAGAATACAGGAGAACAACCAGGACTCTCAGCTTGGCACAATGACAGCACAGTAAGGGATTTTGTGTTTTGTTTCTTAGATCAGTTAAATCCATGTCCTTTGCTAATGCAACCAATCTCCTAATATGTCAGAGCAGCTACTCTCACCCAGAGAGACACTCTGGACCCAGATAAGCCTAGGATAGGTTTCCAGGCTCCCCACCCTGGTCACCCACCCTGAGTGCCTCCACAGGGAAGACCAATGTGCCTGACTCCAAACATGATGAGCTGCAGCTGGACACCCGGACACTTTAGGATAAGTAGGACCTGGGGCTAGTAGGGAACATACTGAGAGATTTCAAGGTGCATTTCAGCAATTTCAAAATAAGGTAGTCTTTACAGAATTGAGTTAATACACATGGTCATCATGGGAAGGACAAGTGTCAGAGGGGTTCACAGTCACAAATGGATAGCCTGCTAGACTGTAGTTTTGGGGGACGTTGTCATCAGAAGACCTTTTCTCCTTCAATCTCTTCCTGCCTCAATGGTAGATTCAACTCTATTTTAAGTTTGTATTTCTGTGAATTCTGGGTTACAACTTGCAACTGATGAAAGTGTAGAGGCGGAAATACCCCAGACCCAAGCTGCCACAGAACTGACCGGACATCCACAATCCTCTGTTCTCAAATGTAGCGGTGGATACCCTCAGACCCAAGCCACTAGAGAACTGACTAGACATCGGCAATCCTGTTCTCAAATGGTATCCTTACGTTATGTTCTCAGAAGATTAGGCAAAAAGATGGAACCACGTGTAACTCTTCCTTGTGCAATAAACAACTTCTTGAAAAGCTATGATTGCAAAGCTCTGAGACCTGATTTTTATTTTTAATAATCTAAAGGAGTTGGGGGTTTAGAAAAATTATAAAACACCGAGCAGAAGGTTAGGGTTTTGGCTCCTCTAGAAAACTATTTAGGTTTACCTGGAAAGGACACCCTGGTGTCATACAAGGTAGCACCCTGATATATACCCAGTTTTCCAACTTGTTTTTGTCAACCTTTTCTTAATATGAACTTCTTAATATTTTCTAGTTTATCTGTTTTGAA